AGACAAGACAGACAGACAGACAGGCGCACATACACACACACATACATACACACAGACAAACAGACAAGACTGACAGACAGGCGCACACACACACACATTTATACACAGACAGACAGACAGGTCTCACCTGTGGTATCCCGGGTGCATCTAGCCAATCACGACATAGCTGTGCCACAGTCAAACCGCTACATCTGTAAAAAGATCATTGATAAAACTTTATAAAATCTATATTTAAATGTCGGAAAAGTATGTTTGGCTTTTTACAATTCACCATAATATGGCGCTCAGATGACCTTATGCAGTTGCGAGCGCATTAAAACCTCTACTGTAAAAAAAAAAACCCCACCATAGATCTAAACATTTCTCGCAAGTCTGAAGTCTTCATAGACCTACCAGCATTAACACGACTGCAAGGCGAAAGTTGATGATTTTTTTGCATTTTGTATTTTTTAATTTTAATTTTAATCTTTTTTTTTTGTTTCTATTTTATTTTATTTTTTGTTTGTTAGGTTTTTTGTTGTCTTTTTTATAAAGTGTGATTTTCCAAAAGGTTTGGATATTTTCTTAATTTGCAATATTAATTTTTTGGAGCATGTTTCAAAGGCAATATATATGTGGACGTACCAACGTCAGCTGGACTACAGAACACATGGCAGTAGATCGAAACCACAATGGGCAGTTTCTGGGCTTGGGCGGATTTGAAAATTTTAAAATTTTCATGAAGCCACCACTTTTCTGGGCATTTGTCCAGCATAGTCAGTCCTGTATGGCGTTTCAGTTTGATCCTCAAGTAGGTCTGTGGTGTTTTTTGGTTTCTTTTTTCTTTCATTCATTTTCATTTCTTAAATAATGTTTTTGTGTTGGTTTTTGACGGGGCATAGTGTTTTACATCACAATTTAAACAATTAAGGGGGCGGGTTTTCAACCCTGCCCAGTCAGGGCCAACCCCGGGCTCAAAGAGATCATACAATGTTCCAACAGAAAGACTGAGATACTCGATTTAAAAAATTAGATTTTCTCCTCACTCTGGAATTAAACAGGCCTGCTGCATGCAACAACAAAACGCCTAAGCCTAACCGCTGCACCACAACAGTCGGTAAGCAGAGGTTATGGGACAGACTGGCACAAAGAGAATTTTTTTATAAAGCCAAGAATGAATCTCTTTGTTGTCACCACCCGCCCAAATGCCCCCTCATTAGCTTTCTAGCACCTGCTCGACGGAGACGTAAAGACACAAAAAAGGGGGGAGGAGGAGGGGAGCAAACTGGGTTGCAATGAAATTGATTATATACTATAAGTGCTACGCACGCTGTTAGAAGCATGAACGAAGACTTTGTGCTTTCCTACTTTCCATTCTATTGAGCGTACACACATTGTCATGGCCCCACGCACTCACTTTTTTCGGCAATTTGTTCAAATGCGACACAGCCAGACAGATCAACGCCAGCTGCTTCATTAGAGAAGTATTTTTTCTTTTTTTTTTCTTTTCCTTTTTGTTTATTTATTTTTATTTATTTTTATATATTTCTTTTTTTAAAGAAACACGTATTACCCCCACATGAATGAGTCGTCTGCTATCCACTCCTTTTCCTTTTGGGTAGGTCTTCACATTCTCATTAAAACCGGCTTCTGTGGTATAGTAGTATAGTCTAGTGGTTTGGCGCTTCCTTGTCGCACGAGGAGACCCGAGTTCGATCCCGAGTGGAGGGGAGTCGGGGTGGGGCGGGATGAATTTTTGTCGAGTATCTCGGTCTTTCTTCTGCAATGTTGTACCTGTACCCCTCTCAACCTAGGTATGCCCGGATACACAACGTATAATGCATGGTCGCAACCCGAATCCTAAATTACCTAAATTGAACTGATGGGAGCGTAAAAATACCTCTACATTTAATAAAAGAATATGGGGGAAAATTCCAATATTGACGCGATGGGTGTCCAGCCAGACGAGAACATAGCGCTTCACCATTATTTTGCTTTCTTTCACAGCGTGAATACATGTATAGCTCTAACAAAAACCCAAATGACCTGAAAGAAACGAAACATTGTGACCTAATTACTTAAAGCTGTGCGGAACAAACTTTTATAGTGGCTGTTCTTATTGTTCTCATGACAAATCACCATTAACCCTGTTGTATCCCTCCCCTACTCCTCCTCTCACCCCTCCTCCTTTTTTCACCTTTCCCCATCATCCCTCCCCTCCTCCTCATCTCTGCCCATTTCTCTCTCTCTCT